TTTAAGACATGTTAAAAGATCTTGCCTGGGAAGTATTAACCCACCTGGTGTATTCACCAGACCTTGCTCCTTCAGATTCCGATTGGTGGCATACACACTTTCTGAGTAACCCTTCAAAACATACAAAGAAATGGAAAATTGGGTCTCTGAATGGTTTACCTCAAAACAAGAAAAGTTCTTTGGGATGGTATCCACAAATTACTTGAAAGATGGGGAAATGTGTAGCTAGCAATAGTCATTACTTTGCATAAAGCACTTTTAATGTTTCTCTTGAAATTATCGTGATTTCTTTTATTACAAAATCCACATTATTAACTGGTATACCTAGTATTTAAAATTTTTTTTTGGTTTTGTTTGGATAAATACTCAGAATTGGAATTGCTAGGTCTTTCTATGTTGTTACAGCCTTTGTTTTAAAGTCTACAGCTGTTGAATGTGTTGCTCCTTCAGCTTTCTTCAGATTTCTATTTGCATAAAATACCTTTTCCTTTTCCTTTACTTTAGTCTGTGTGTCTTTCCATTTGAAGTGAGTCTATTATAGATAGAATATATATGGGTATTGCTTTGGTATCTATTCAGCCATTGCTGTCTTTTAATATGAAGATTTAATCCATTAACATGTAAAAACTTTTGATAGGTATGTAGTGATTACCATTTTATTACTGATATTTTTTATTTTTTCTTCTCCTTAAAGAAGTCTCTTTAACATTTCTTTTTGTTTGTTTGTTTGTTTGCTTAAATATATTTTCATTGATTTCAGAGAGGAAGGGAGAGGGAATAACTGTCTTCCTCTTGCATGCTCCATTAGATATCAAGCCCACAACCCAGGCATCATCTCTGACCGGGAATCAAACTGTGATCTTCTAATTCATAGATCAATGCTTAATTCTAGTTCATAAGGTTGATGCTCAACCACTGAGCCATGCCTGCTAGGGCCTTTAACATCTATAATAATAAAAGCATAATATGCTAATTAGATCAGACGACTTTTCTGAATAAGTTGGGGCAGCAAGGGAAGCCCGGGTCCTGGGTGCCAGAGGGAAGCCAGTGCAGGCAGCTGGGGGAAAGAAGGCCTACTCTTGCATGAATTTTTTGCATCAGGCTTCTAGTCCTATTTAATAAAAGAGTAATATGCAAATTGACCTTACCTCAGCTATATCCACAAGCCACGCCCAGAAGCCAATCAGGAACAAATATGCAAATAAACCCAACCAAGATGGCTGCAGCCTAGGAGAGCAGGAGGGAGGCTTGGGTTTCCCTGGCAATGGAGGAAGCCAAACTTTCCGCCTGTCCTTGCCGGCCTACTCCTCCACTCAGTGCTACAAAATTTCAATGATAGAAGATAAATAAATTCCAACAAAAAATGGGTGTGGCTACAGAGCTGGAGAGAACAGGAGGCTAGGGTTGCCCCCAGCGATGGAGGAAGCCAAGCTTCTGCAGCCCTGGCCGGCCTACACCTCTGCTTAAGACTACAAAGTTTCAATTATAGAAGATAAGTAAGTCCCAACAGAAATGGCTGCCACCACCGGGTGAGCAGAAGGTTCCGCTCCAGGCTACAAAGTTTCATTTGTAGAAGATAAATAAAACCCAGCTACCAGGGCCTCTGCTTGGTTCTCTGGGGCACGTGGCCAGCCTACAAACCACCATAGGCCCCTCGCCCGGGACACCCTTCAGGGCAAACCAGCTGGCCCCCACCCATGCACCAGGCCTCTATCCTATCTAATAAAAGAATAATATGCAAATTGACCATCACTCCAACACACAAGATGGCTGCCCCCATGTGGACACAAGATGGCTACCATAAGATGGCCAGCAGTAGGGGAGGCACTTGGGAGGGACCAGGCCTGCAAGGGAGGGCAGTTGGGGCAGTTAGGGGTGACCAGGCCTCAAGGGGAGGGTAGCAAACAGACTGGCAGGGGAGTGGTTAGGGGCAATCAGGAAGGCAGGCAGGCTGTGATGTCCGCCTGCCCTAAGGGGTCCCAGATTAGAGAGGGTGCAGGCTGGGCTGAGGGACACTTCTCCACACCCCTGTGCACAAATTTCATGCACTGGGCTTCTACTAATGAACTCCTGGGTAGAGTATTCTTGGTTGTAGATGCTTGATTTTCATTTCTTCTAATATTTCTTACCACTCCCTTCTGGTTTGCAAAATTTCTGTGGAGAAATCAGCTGATGGTCTTATGGGAGCTTCCTTATAAGTAAATAACTGTCTTTCTCCTACTGCTTTTAAGATTCATTCTTTGTCTTCAACCTTTGCCATTTTAATTTTTAAAAAATCTTTATTGTTAAAAGCATTATATATGTTCCCCTTTTCCCACCCCCTCTCCCACTGAGCTCTTCTAGCCTGCCCCTACCCCTGACCCAGGCCTTGACCACCCTATTGTCAGTGACACCATGGGGTTACATGCATATATACATAAAAGTTCTTTGGTTAATCTCTTCCCATCCACATACCCTTTTCTGCCTTCCCTGTGAGATTCAATAGTCTGTTCTGTGCTTCTGTGTCTCTAGATCTATTCTCATCAGTTTGTTTTATTCATTAGATTCTATGTATGAGTGAGATCATATTATGTTTATGTTTCTCTGACTAGCTTAGCATAATACTTTCACTTAGCATAACACTCTCCAAGTCCAACCATGCTGTTGCAAATGGTAAGAATTCCTTTCTTTTTTCCCCTTCTTTTTTTTTTCTTCAGTTGCATAGTATAGTATTCCATTGTGTAAATGTACCACATGCCATTTTAATTATGATGTGTCTTCAGACCCAGAGCAGCTGGTTGTGGAACGAACCAGAGCAACAGAGGCCAGGCCCAGAGCAGCCAGGCCCAGAACAGCTCGCTCCTCACCTGCCCCTGCCCCAAGGCTGCCTCTCAGACATGGCTGGAAACTTTTGTGGGAACTTGAGGGTCTGCTGAATCAAGTGATGAAGGCTTAGATCTGGATATGTTGAGTTAGTATAGGGCTGGGGTGTTGATCTGTGAGTGCCATGGGTGGGGCCTGGATGAGGCTGGTTGACGTATTTGGAAATGTCTTTCGTGTGAAATGTATCATTGGGCATGTGGTGGTATTATTGATATGAGAAAATGCTAAGTAACTGATTTACTATCTGAAAAGGGATTTACTATCGGGGAAAGGGAGGGAGGAAGAGACTGAACATAAACTGCACCTATGGATGAGGACAATGGGGGGTGGGGAGGGGGCAGAGGGTGGGTGGGAACCTGGTGGAGGGGGGAAGAAATGAGGAACCTTTGTAACAATATGAACAATAAAGATTGATTAAAAAAAATAATAATAATTATGATGTCTTGCCTGTGGGTCTTTTTTGGTTCATCTTGATTGGGACTGCACTTCTAGGACTTGTGTAGCTTTTTCCTACACTAGGTTAGGGAAGATTTCAGTCATTATTTCTTCAAATATGTTCTTAATCCCTTGCTCTCTTTGTTCTTCTAATAATCCTATGATGCAGATGTTGTTACACTTTTTGCAAAGGTTCCTTATTTTTTAAAAATAGCCTTTTTCATCTTTCTGCTCTCATTGGATATTTTCTGTTGCCTTATCTTCCAAATTGCTGATTTAATCCTCTGCTTCCTCTAATTGGCTATTGATTCCTTCTAGTATATTCTCCACTTCAGGTAGAGTGTTCTTTATTTTTGACTGGTTCTTTTTTATGCTTACTATCTCTTTGTTGGAAGTTCTCACTGAACTCATCTTTTTTTTTCCCTAAGTTCCTTGAGAATCCTTATAACCATAGTTTTGAATAGCATCTGTGGATGATGTGGAAGAGGAGACTTGATGGATGTCCCTTCAGCTCTCTCCTTGAAGCCGCACAACTCAGTCTCTGCCTGGATGAGTCCCATTCACTTTGAGCCTCCCTCCTGTCGGATCCCAGGGTGAGGTGGCTGTGAACCAGATTTTGTGCATTGGCCCTTTAAGAGGGCATCTGAGTTTTTAGCCAATTCCTGTCTCTCCTTGGCAGACAGAGTCTTCACAGGTTTTGCCAGCCAGATGCTGTGTGGATTTCTTTTCCCCCCGTACTGGTTGGTGCTCAGTTTTGGGTAGCCCGTCAAGGAGTTGAGACCCTTCGCTCCTCAGGGGGGACCTTTGAAGCTGTGATATCTTTGGTTTTTCAACTGCCACACATGAGCCCAGGGCCAGCCATGCCTCCATACTTTCTACCAGTCTAGATGTGGCTTCTTCAGAAAGTCATTGATTATAAGACTTTTGTTCAGCTAGTCTTCAATTGGTTATTCAGGTTGGTCGTTCTATATTTTAGTTGTAAATCCACTTTGGTCCTGGGAAGAGGTGGGTGTAACTTCTACCTCCTCTGCCTCCATCTTTAATCCATCGAAATTCTTGTTTTATTAAAATGTTATCTAGTACTTCACAGATCTGTTATTAAATCTCATTTAAATGAGACGTGAATTAATGTCATTTAAAGCAAAAATCATCCTGGCCAGTATGGCTAAGTGGATGAAGTATTGTCCTATGCACTGAAAGGTCACTTCTTTCTCTCCTTTGCCTGAGGAAACTACCACAGCTCTTCCTCTCTCTTGTTAAATAGGTGGGTAAAGGGCAGTGAGGAAGGGCATCCACTTTGTCTAGCAGAGGCCTTTCCTCTAGGCTGGGGTCTTGGTTGCTCTCTAGGCTCCACTTGACAGCTCTTGACTGTTTCATCTGCCCTGTGACTAAGCTGATGATGCATGCTGAGATTTGCAGCCAGAGTCTGGTATGTGTGTGTTAGGTCTCAGTGAAAGAAATTTCCCTGAAGTAATCACCCCAATTAATCAGGCCTTATCCTTGTGGGCATCTAATTCAGTGGATTCATCTTCTAATACCAATTTGGTGGTTAAACTGTAACTCTGGTATCCAACCAGGTAATTAATTACATGGTTTTTCTTCCTCAGGATATACTTTTCTGGAGTCTTGTGTCCAGCAGCTTGCCTTTGCAGGCCATACAGCCTACGATGGCAGCTAAATGTGTGCTATTTTTGTCTTTGCAGGAATGAGCTAGAGCGACAGTTTCTTGAATTGCTCCAGTTCAACATCAATGTTCCTTCCAGTGTTTATGCCAAGTATTATTTTGATCTTCGTTCTCTGGCAGAAGCAAATAACCTGAGCTTTCCTTTGGAGCCCCTGAGCAGGGAAAGGGCTCACAAGCTTGAGGTAATGTATTTTAACATACTGCTTTTGGGTTCACTATTGTCAACTCATCTGGGTGCCATGGAAGGGTAAAGGGAGTAATTACAATGTTGATTTCTCCCACTGTGTTGTTATGAAATAAGGGCAAGATACCCTGGATTTAGAAGTCATCAGTTAATTTAATGATAATTTGTACAACCTTATATTTTCAATAACCTTCTTAATATCAGTTTTTTAATGCACATTGATTCAATTTTTTAAATCAAATGTTTTTTAAGCTTCAGTTTTTAAAAAATAAATCCACAAAAAAAGATTTCCCAGCCGGGACCGGTTTGGCTCAGTGGATAGAGTGTCAGCCTGCGGACTGAAAGGTCCCGGGTTCGATTCTGGGCAAGGGCATGTACCTTGGTTGTGCAGGCACATCCCCATTGGGGGGTGTGCAAGAGGCAGCTGATCGATGATTCTCTCTCATCGATGTTTCTAACTCTCTATCCCTCTCTCTTCCTCTCTGTGAAAAATCAATAAAATATATTTTAAAAAAAAAAGATTTCCCAGCATACACTTTTATAAGGAAAAAGATACTAGAAGGCCCTAATTATTAGGAATCCAAAATGATTGATTCTGCTTTTTAGTTTTTCAAATTATTTTCCCCATAGCCCAGTTAGAGTTAGGGCTAGCCCCTTTGGCCTTGGTCTGGGTTTAAGGTCTGCAATTGTTAAATTGTATGAATTTTGTGTCTTGTATACTTATATGGAGCTAGGCTCCATATTTGTACCTAGGTCTTAACCCATTGTTTCAGAGCAGTGTGTGGAGGACCTCTGCATTTCTATCTCAAGGCACCATATTGGCCTCATTCTGCTTTGACCAAGCAGTAGACAGTATAGTCATGTCTCAAGATTGGTGAGACCCAAGAAGTCCATACCTCATTTTCCATCCTAGGTGAAACATCCTCCCCTGGCTAGTACTGGTCAAGGTGGCCAGAGTGATGGTCTAACAGGGTTAACGGTGTGAACAAAATAAAGTCTAGAGGTGGGAGGAAGAGAGTTTGGATTAAGCTGTGGATTTCAACTTAAGAAAGCAAAAACTTAACATAATCATTCTTAAAAGTAAATAATGCTATTTCCAAAAAGGAAATGTAATAAAACTAAATTTGGAAAAGACTGGATGCATAGCTCTCGTTTTAAAATGAAAATCCAGGGAGGTTTTCAGAACTTGGTCACTTTTCTGTCATTATGTACCAGCCTTTAGAGTGAAATTTCTCATTAAATCTCTCATTTCTCTTGTATTCAAGAGCATAAAATAGGAAACCCTTCCTCTGAAAGACTTGCTTCAAGGCACATACTGTCAAATCTTCACAAGCACACACATGAAATAGAATTTGATATCAGGGTGAACATGAATGCTGTTTGAATATGCGCAGTGGTCCTCATATCCCTCACGTGCTGAGATGGGCTCAGTCACTCCTTCAGTGCCGAGGTGAGGAGAAGATCTTGGAGCTCCTGGGAGCCACTCAACCCCGAAGGAAAGCAGAACTGTGGTTCTCTGAGTGAGAATATTTAATGGTTCAGGTCAGTTAGATAGGGGGCACCCAGACTGGCTGAGACTGGGGGAGTCGTGCATACCACTCCTTTTCATTCCATTCGCTTATCTGAGTGGAAAGAGGGGAGAACTCACCTGCTCCTGGTGTGCCCATGCCAAGTGCCCATGGGCAGGAAGAAGGCCAGTAATCTGACAAAATGTTCCCTCTCTCTGCTCCTGATACACAGATCTTCTCCTCCTCCGTACGGCTAGACAGAAGTGCTCTCTGGGAAAGCAGATGGCACCCCTTTGAAATAGTTTCTTAGGAATGGGGTTTCATTGTTTTCCAGACCCCTCTTAGTCCATTTGGTTGGCATACTTGAACCCCATCATAGAAAGCAACCTGAGACCTCAGAGGAGATACCATAACCTGAAGTTTTATGCCTGTTCATATGTCCCGCAAGCTGGCTATTTTGGTATGTTGGTTGCAGTGTAGAGTATAGAAATAGGAGAGCATCAAGAACCAGGGCAAATGCAATTAGGAGGTCATTTCTCTCTGAAATAAACTAGTATCCCTCTATGCATGTGGAAGACGTGATTAAAGGTATCAGTTTGCATAATAAAATCTAGAATGAAATAGTACATTGCTAATGTGTTACGATAATTGCATTCAGACTTGTGCTGTTGGTAAGCTGAGAAACAACAAATAGAGCAATAATGAAAATAATATGCTTTAAAAAATGGTTGTTCAAATGTCCTTAAGGGATCTGATTTTCTCTTCTTTAAGTATGCCACATATATTTCATATATGAAACATTCCAAATGAATTATCAATAGTACAGCCCACTTGTTACCCTAATTCATCTCTCATTTGGAGGAAGACATCCTTTACTCCTGTCTCTCTCCAGTCCATCCTCCATGCTGCCAATGGAGTTGCTTTTCTGAAATGCAATTGTACTAGGTTGTGGAACATTAATTCCTTTTCTTTTTTTCATTAATCCTCACCTGAAGATATTTTTCCATTGATTTCCAGAGAGAGTGAAAGGAGAGGTAGAGACAGAGAGAAACTTCAATGTAAGAGAGACATCAATTGGTTGCTTCCTGCACATGCCCCAACCAGGACCAGGGATTGAGCCTGCAAAATGCTCTTGATGGAATTAAACCCAGGACCTTTCAGTCTGCAGTCTGATGCTCTGCCCACTGAGCAAGACTGGCTAGAGCTGGCATGTAAATTCTTAAAATCGCTGGCAGTTTAACATCGCCACAGAATAACAACTTAGCCAGCCAGTGTGTGAGCAGCCATGTCAGCCTGGCACTGTCAGCTCTGCTCTCTCCATCCCCTGCTGCCTGCTGGTTGCCTTCCCCAAGCCCTCAGCCGCTTCTAACCATGCCAGTACACTGCCTTGCTGAAAATGCCAGTTCCCTCCTGATAATTCTTCCCCTCCAAGCACAGCCCTTGAAGCCTGGGTCTGATGTCTATTTATCAGTCATGTGTGTTCCTTCAGGGATTCCCCAAAAATAGAATAAATTGCTTAGTCCCTCTATTTTTAGTACTTTGGCCATTCCTTTGTTATGTCCATGCCTCTGTTATGTGCATATGTTGAGTGGAACTTATATATTCATTCGACACGTATTTACTCAGGGCCTTCTGATATCAGGTGCTGGTTACAACTCTGCCCTGAGAATGGTCATGAACAAAGCTCAAAGAGCCTGCTCTTACAGTTTGTGTTCTGTTGGGAGGAGACAAACAGTGAACAATAAACATAATAAATAAATAACATTTGAAATAATTAATATGTTAGAACAGGGGTGAGGAATCTTTTTTTCTGCCAAGGAGCATTTGGATATTTATAACATCATTTGCAGGCCATGCACAATTATCAACTTAAAATTTAGCCTGCTATATTTGGTCAAACATTTAATTAATTCACCCCTAATGACTTTCAGGGCCAGATCAAATGATTTTGTGGGCCTTATAGCTGATTTCCCGCACCCCTGTGTTAGTAGATGAGTTATAAAGAAAGAGGAGAACAGGGTAGGGGTTCCATAGTCAGGGCCTCATTGAGTAGGTGATGTTTGTACAAAGATGTGACTTTGCAGACACTTCCAGGCTGAGGGAGGAGCTGGTGCAGTGCCTGTGGTGGAAGCCAGTGTGGAGGCCAGGGAGCAGGGTAGGCAAAGTGATTCAAAGCATTGGGGAATGTATCAGGGAGAGAAGAGCAAGCAGCGAGACCAACTTCAAATATTATTCTGCAGTCCTAGCAAGAGCCAGTTGGATCTGATCAGGGCACAGGGTTGGCTGTGAAGTGGTTGGCTGCTTTTGTGCTTTTCCCTTGGCTGTGACTTCCTGGTGGATGAACACTGTGTCTGTCCCCCTAACCCTGGCACAATACCCAGACTTTCTCTGGAATTGTGTAGAAGTTAAAAGACCTCATCTTTGCTTAGTAATGTCACCCTCACCCCTGGATCATCGTACAGGTGGCAGGTGAATGTGTCTGAGACAAGCCCCCTGGGTGGTATGAGCCTTTCCAGAGCTGTGACAGGACTTTAGCCCCAGTGTGGGCCTGGCCCTGCTGTTACCTGCAGCCCTCTGCCGAGAGTCCTGCCTCATCAACAAAATGAAGACAATGCTGATTATCTCTGCATCCCATGTTTCTGTGCCCCCTCTGGCTCCCTTCTGCAGTAGTGGCTCCCTTCTGTGCCCCCTCTGACTCCCTTCTGCTCTGAGTTGGTCTCTAATTAATGATCATGGCCAACTACTCCCTCATATACAAATCCAGCATGGAGCTCCAGTGCTTCACAGCCACCTTGTGAGGAGGGCACTATGATGGTCCCACTTGCAGACAAAGATGCTAAGGACTTAAATGGGGGCACATACCCAGGTCACACACCCCTAAGAGGGGAACCAGCATTGATTTTGTGAGCCTTATAGCTGGATTTTGACTGACCCTAGGCTACTGTACTGGTAAGCACTTTGGAAATAGAGGCTGTTTCTACACTTCCTGCGTATCCCGCCTTGTGATATGGGTCTTTGCTGTGGGATGTGAACCACGTAAGGCAGGGCCTCTTCCTGGGTTTTCGTTCATGAGTGTCCTCAGTACCTAGAAGGATGCTGCTCAAGCAGTGCTTGGTGTCTGGTGAGTGAGTGCATGGAGGGAACTTCCAGGGTCCAGCCCTGACTGAATTTTCTCTCTTCTGCCCCTCAGGCCATCTCTCGCCTCTGTGAGGACAAGTACAAGGACCTGAGGAGACCCACGAGGAAGCGGTCAGCAAGTGCTGACAATCTGACTCTGCCTAGGTGGTCCCCGGCCATCATCTCCTAACTGGGCGTCCCCACTGAGGCTGTACCATCCCTCAGTTTCTCCTTTAGTTTGAGAAAAGACAGAATTGGGGTGGTTTTGTTTTTGTTTCCCTTTTTTTGTTTTGTTAAAGTCATAGCTCCATCAGGCTGCCTGAATGACTGCCTTTGAGCTGTGTGGCCCACATGCAGCAAGGCTTTGAGGGAAGCAAAATCAGTATTCTGGAAATCCTGTTTCGCACCTTGCCCTGTCATCATTAACTGCACTTCCTTCTTGAAAGATAAAGACTTGAATCCTGAAGGAGGAAGTAAAGGGAAAGAAAAGTTGTATAGAGGCAGGAAAAATGACATGGCCATTTCTTATATCCCCCACCTGGTCGGTAGATGAATATGACGGAAAACACAACAGTAGCTAACACAGTTAGATGTGCATTAAAGACAAGAGTGCCACTTTTATCACCTCCGTCTGGATCAGTCTGTTCTTTAAGACTTCTTGCATCCCTTCCAGCTGCTTTTTGGGAATTTGGAGGATTTTTGTTGGTTTTTATTCTGTTTTGGTTTTGGCCCCACAGAGCAGAGAATATAGTTTGTACCATGGCACAGACATCCAAATAAATAGTATTGATTGTTTCTCTCTGCACTATTCCTATGAGCTGTCTTCTGAGCTTTCTTCCTCACAAGTGGATGCACTTATTACATTTCTCTACCACTTTATTTTATACACTTTTTCTTCAACAATGGTAAAATTAACTTGACAATAGTGCTGAACCAAAAGTATCCCTTTCCTTCTTTATGCCTAACCTTCTCCCCACCCCCCCAAAAAAAAAAAAAATTACTAGGTAACATGGGTGCTTGTGCCTTCCAATTTTCATGCAGCTTTTTTTTTTTTTTTTTTTTTTTTTTTTTTTTTTTTAATCTGACCTGAAGTTGTAGTTATAAATCAGTCACACCTCATGGGCCAGGGAAACAAGGTGCAGTAGAAGCTGCCCTTGGTTGAGATTTTTCCCCCAGACTGTTTGGTGTTTGCCTGAAGTTATTGAGTAGGAGCCATTTCTTTGTACTCTCTGCCCAGTTTGTTCCTCTACTTCCGCATCCATTGTTGCAAGCAATATTCTTATCAATTTTTATATGTTTATTTTAAATCAAAGTTAGTCTATTTGTATAAATTTTTTTAAAAATTAAAAATTAAAAAACAGGGATGGGGTGGGTAGTCCAGTGGGAAGATTATTGGAGGGCAAAATGTTACTATTTGCTGAGATATTTTTCACAGAATGATTGAATAAAAAAACCACAACACTTGCATTTTCATTGTGGGTGCTTAGAGAAGTTACACAAAATTCAAACTGTGAAGGTTTATGCTTCATTAATTATGATGTACTTTTTTGTTTTCTGACTATCCCTAATTTTTTTAGATAAGAATCTTTTATATCAAAAGAATTAATGATCAAATATCAAAAAGTAAATTTGTCATTAATGTCTTGAATACCCTTTGGAAATGAAAGGGATTCAGAAAGCTGAAATCCCAAGAACATCAAGCTGAAAGTACTGGTCAGGTTCCAATTAAATTTGTGTCATGGGTGAACAGAACGGCCAGAGATATTGTCAAGTTCTTTCTGATCTTTCAAAAGCAAGCAAGCAGAAAAGAAAAGTTAATTATTTTTCCATTGTAATTGTATTGATATACTTTGTATGGGTCCAAAGTCAGCTTCTCTCTTCAATTAAGAGTCTGATTTAGAAGTTTAGAGATCTAAAAATAGAGAAAATAATCATTTTATATTCCCTATTCTATAGAGCTTAAAAGGGACATATTTTCTTAGCTGAATATGAATACCTCTCAAGCATAAATTAGTTTCTCTCATGTAAAGTACCTTATTTTACCAATCCATTTCAAGAAAGAGGTTCTGCTGCCTTTGAAGCAGAAATCTTATTTTTATCCCTTTTATTTGAATGAGATTTGAAAATTGAATTATGTAAATATTTCAATGCATCTATTATTTTGTGGAGTTTATTAAACTACTTTAAAAATTGTATAGTCTATATATTATATGTACATATAGTCTGATAACTTAAAATTTAAAGTGAATCCCATAAAACCCGGCTCACTCTTTGTTTAGGTTATTGAATATTGTTTTAGCCTTGTGCACTGGACTCTACCTCTGTATAGGAAAATTTTCCATATCATTAATAAGTATTGATCTGTATTAATTGGTTATGTTTCTTGCACTAAGAATTTTTAAACTCTGCTGTAAGTGTAGATTTTACTTTGCAGTATGAATCACTTGACACATAGCTAGATACTTTAGGTTTGCTTTATTTTTCTACATGATGATGAAGACAACATTTTGTTCTCTGGTTTGTTCTAAGTTTGCCAAAAAAACAACAACAAAATACAAAAAAACCCCACAAAACCCTAAAACAGCAGTATAAGTACGGTAACTATTGATAAATGGTAGTGAATAATTTGTTTGCAAGGTGACTCAATGCACTATAACTAAAGCTGGATTACTCTTTAGGAATACATTGTCTTAAATGTAATTTTGAATGCACAGTTTTCATCACTAATGAAGGATGAAGATAACCACACAATTTGTTTAACTTTAGACTTGACTTAAACAACAAAGTCCTTGGGAGAATAAGTATATATCCCAGTGAGTATTTTTGGTTTATTTTACTTTAGTCTTAACTGGGAAAAGAGAAAGAAGTCAGGGATTTAAAACCAAATTGGAGGGCAAGCTGGGAGATCCTTCCAAGATCAAGACATGCTCCCATGCCTTACTGCATGAGGTCAGAGCCTGGGCTATGTCTGCTCTGCCCTGGCAGGAGCTTCTCCATTTTGGGTTTCCCTTGGTTCTGGGGATTTTGATCCTCAGCTGAGCTGCAAAGCAGAATTTGGGGAGGGAGTGATTTCAATCCTTGCTGGCTGATTTTGGTAATCTCACATTTTGGGGCCATATTTTACAGTTTTGAATTTTTAAAACAAAGTTTCATTCCTGGTTCATTGTAGGTATTTAATAAGTGTTAAATAAATAAATGCAAAGAACAAATAATGACTGCCTTCCTGTTGCATTTTTTAAATATTGATATAAAGTTTATAAGGTTTTATGGATGCTGAGTAAACCAGTTCTTTGCAACAGTAGTCAAAAAGTGTTCTTAGTCCTGTAAATCTTGGGTGACTCGAAGTATTAAGACCTCTTAGAAATCTCCAGCAGTTGAGACAATTGCACACTAGAGATCTAATAGAGTGCCTTCCATTTATATCAATGACTTATTTTATCTTTAATAACTTTATCCCCCTAAGTGTAGTGTCTCAAAACTTACTTTGAGTGGATCTTATAAATGTGGAGCATATGAAAAGTCAGTCAGAGAGTCCCCACCATCACCACCACCCAGTCTTGTTGAAGGGAGGAGGAAATGGAAAACATGCCCTGGGTGAAATGAGAAAAGGATATTAACCAATTTGGGATTTATATTTTAAGCTCTATGGATTTCAAGCAAAGCTCTACACATGTCTTCATTAAGATCATGGTTTGCTAAATGTAGACTATTGCACCTGAAAACAAATCGCCTTACAGGTGCCATATAGGCCTCAGCACAAGTGGATGGTGTGGAAGAATACTGGCAGCCATGGGAATTGGTGATGGATTTTGGACTTGAACAGGTCAGCCAGCTTCCTTTCCAGTCTTTTCTGTTCAGTTTTCTTAGTACTAAGTTTGTATATGTGAAGCTGCTAAAGGTCTACTATTGAAGCATCCATGTTATCTAAAACCTGCTGTTTGAAATTTTAACCCTGCTATTTTGCCTTCTGTAAATGCTTGCTTGCTTGCTTGCTTGCTTAAATAATAAGGAAAATAAGACTACTCCCAAGAGGCCATAAACCTTCCCCAGACCAAGTTATCAGTGCTGGCGCCAGGCCAAGCCTTTGGTTGAGGTCTCAAAGCACCAGCACATAGGGTTCTTTAAGAACTTGCAAAGGGAACCGGAAATATCCCATATTTGGGAAACAAGGTAAAGACATAAATAGGGAAAGTTCCTTCATGTTGGGGCCGGAATTTGAAATAACAGTTTCTCTGGGCCCGCACATAATAATAAAGTATAACTCCTCTCTAAGTATTGCTTGGTTCTTCTCTGGTCTTCTGTAACATCAATGGTTCCCTGAACTACTGGGAAATCAACTGTGCATGGTTGGCCTTTTTGGCCTCAAGTGAGTGGACCCAGTTTGGGGCCCAGGGGCGTTAGACAGGCCTCCAGGAGGCACACCCTGCTGATTTAGCAGAATTGAATGGGAGGGACACACACACACACACACACACACACACACACACGACGATGACGACGACGACGGACGGACCCTGAGCGCTCCCGGACCTCAGCCCAGGACCCTGCCAGCATTTGGAGAGAGTGGACGGACACTTCTGGACCTCTCGACAGAATCCGTAAGGTAGGGGCCCCACTCAGGCCCACTACAAGTAAGTAGAAGGCAATTAATCAGGAATCAGATGGACTGTTTAAACAGTAAATATCTGATAGAAGTAAAAAACTTTGGATTGTCTGGTGTATAAATGTAAGTGTGAGCGTCTGTAAAGCGAAAGCTACTTTGTGACGTCTGGCTGTACACAGAGTATTTGTTACCTCTTTCTGTTCAGTTTGTTTAAAGATAGGCCAAACCCTACTTTAGGGGGAAGCTAATTATATATGGTGAGGCTGGATGCTCTGGTGAATTGCAAAACCCCCCCAAGCAGCTGCTGGGACAGCCTTTTTCCCAGGGTTTTTTTTGTTTTTTTCTGTCAGAGGGAATCAGCCCACTTAGCTAACAAAAATTTCTGTCTATCAATTGCTCTTCCCTGAATTGTGAATTTGCTATATTAAATTGAAATTTGGAAGTTCTGGGGTAGATTTAAAGGCTAAAACAAAGTTCAGATTGCTTGGTGCTGAGATTGCTTGTAAGAAAAGCAAGAGAAAAGTCTTCAAGTTAACTACGCTGTTTCCCCGAAAATAAGACAATGTCTTATATTAATTTTTTCTCCCAAAGTTGCGGTAGGTCTTATTTTCAGGGGATGTCTTATCTTTCCATGGGCTAGGTCTTATTTTCGGAGGATGTCTTATTTTCGGGGAAACACGGTATTTACAGCAATAAATTTCAAAGAACTTGTTATTTATAATTTTTCTTATCTCTCTTGGTGGATGGAGACTTCCAGGGGCAGGATTTAGGGGCCCTGTCCCTGCCTGTGGCATCATAGTCCTGTGTGAGCCATCTCAGGCAGAACTAAGGCAGAAGTTATTATTAACCATTAATGGACCCCATTAACCCTGGTTGTATGTCTTGTGTGGTCTCTTGTCTTGGTGGTTGTGTGTTTTATTTGACTTGCCGTTTTCAGTTATCATTAGGGCCTTCCTAGAAAATACACCTTGATTCCACCCCCCTTCTTACACCCCTTACGGTATCTGTGATTGGATTGAAAACCATTTCCTTCAAGGGACCTCCCAGGATTTTGATCCGAAAGAAATCTCCCTACACACCCTTATCTCATCCGCTATCTTTCCAAGCCCACTAAAAGTCATTTTTCCCCACAGGTCGGACCCCAGCCTCTGGGAGGGAGGACTACTACAGCGGTAGTCTGTAGTTTTTTCTGAAACTCCCACTATTTGTTTCTCCTTTGTAGGAATTGTCTTTCTTTGACTCACAAGAGGACAGGAAGACAGCAGGAGCAACAGGCCCTGAGCTGGGGGACCAAGAGAAATGTCAGCAGTTAATTACAAAGCAGGGAGAGAGAGGTTTTTGTTCATTTTTACTGGCTGCAGACCACTCTGCTAGTGT